ACCTCCCCCCAAACTGTCAGTCCCCTTGTTTTCTCCTCCAGATTGTTCATCCAGCCTGTCCTATCCAGACAGACCTGCCATAACCCCTTTTCACAACACAATTACACACACACACACACACACACACGCTGATATCTGTTTAAATAAACTTACCCAGTTTGCACTTCCCACATTTTTATAGTTTTATCCCTTGAGGCAGAAACGATATGATCTCCATTGGGCATGATGGCTACTGAAGAAACATTGTGGTCATGGCCTACAACAACACAGCAATGCATGTAAGTGATACACATGAAGCATGCGTGACTCTCCATGTACCATGGGATTTCAAATATTACACAATTCTAATTATGAGGGCATGCAGAAAAGAACTGCTACAAAACCATAGAAACCTTTACTAAACAAAATCATCAAAATGTGAATAAGTTAGACTACACTGGGCTTTCTATGAATTTTCAAGAAACCTGGATTTACATTTATGAAAGTTAAGGAACTAGTAACTAACAAATCAGTCTATAAGAAAATACATATGTAGGCACCATGCTTCTGGTTAAATCACAACTTATACAACTGCTTAATACAAAACATCAGGATTATAAGAATTTTAATACATCCACGAGTCCTCCTTATTTGAATAGTTGCATATGAAACAAACAAGAAAACACCCAATCACCCATTCCTCATGGTTGATATGCTAACATAATATAAGACAGGCACATGATTGACAAAGCTAAAACGGACCAAATTTTTAAAAAACGATTTGGTTCTGTATTTTACACAATGGCTAATAATTCTTTTTTGTTGTTAATGTTCTTCAGAACAAAGAGAGAATAATCTAATTCATATTTTCAAAGGGCTTGCACTTTTGCAGCAAAAGCCTCGGTTTTCAGATAGTCTATAATGGTTAAAAGGAGTCTACCATGATTAGAAGGACTTTCCTTTTCTTCAAGTCAGAATAACAAACTGCACGTGGCTTACAGAAACATCAATTAGACTTAGAAAGAGATTCACCAGAGCTGCTAAGCTTTCCAAGTGAATTTAACGTGGGTGGGAACACACATCCCTGAAGTAACACCCTCTGTAATCACACAGCGGACTCACGCTCATTGAATGAATAACCTATTCTAACAAAACCTAGCCACATATCAGGTTTAAAGAAGCAAACAACAAATATCCCTTTTTAGTGAGCACCTCCTATGAACCATGTACCAATCGAAACATCAGATACAGGATCTCAATACAGTCTTATCCTCATAATAACCTTATGACTTGGGGAAGCTAAAATGTCTAATGTCAAAGTAAACAAGTAGGAATTTGAACCGACAAATCCAATGCTAAACCCCACAATCTTTCCCCAAAGCCACACCACCTCAGCAAAGTCTCCACAAGTTCTCACAATGACCAACAAAGAACATTAAAGGGGAATCAAGCCAGTGTCTGTCCCCCCCCCCCACCACCCCCCCCAACCCCCCCGCCAGGATTTCAGCTTCTCATTTGAGAAAAAGTTAATTTCCTGTTCTTTCAATCATACATAAATGTCCTGGCAGCTTTTATATACAAAAACATGCATAAACATTTAACATTATATGTAACTCTTAAGAGACACTTAAAACTTTCTAAAAGAAACTCTCATCTACCGTGTCACACCTACCATCTATGTCACACTCTGCTCCACGGACGTAAGCAAACAGTGACGGCAAGGAATCCGTACAGCCAGAAACAGTATTAGTCTCTCTGAAATGCTACACTAGAAATCCCTATTAATATCCCCCAAAACTGCAATACAGAAACTTCTCAGCCAGGAAGTCGTTTCCCTGTAGCCCAGGGTGGAACTGCCCCTACGGGTTTTCAAGACTGTAACTCTTTACAGGTGTAGAAAGCTTTAGCTTTCTCTCTGAGAGCAGCTGGTGGTTTTAAACTGCAGACCTTGACAGTAGGAGCCCAATGTGTACCCACTACACCATTAGGAGTCTTTCTATTAATATAGAAACCTTTAAAGCAGTGGGTTGCAACCCCTCTGGGGGTTCTAAATCATCTTCTAAGACCATCGGAAAACACATAAATATTTCACAATATACAATTACACATTGTTTTGTGATTAATCCCTATGCTTTATGTTTAATTATGCTCAATTTCTTAACAATGAACATACATCCTGCATATCAGATTATTTACAATAAGATTCCTAACAGTAGCAAAATTAGATATGAAGTAGCAACGAAAATAATGTTATGGTTTGGCGTCACCACATGAGGAACTGTATTACAGGGTTGTGGCATTAGGAAGGTTGAGAACCACTACTTTAAAGGGATAGTGAGAATAGTTGTAGAATGAAAAGTGTATACAGGGGTGGGGGCCAAAAGAAAGAAAAGTGTATGTGCACGCGCGCGCGCACACACACACACACAGAAATGGTGGCAATTAGGCTGAATTTAGTAAAACCACAGCATTTAAAACAAAGTATTAAAAAAAAAAAAAAAACTTCTTTCAAACTTACTACCATTGAGTTAATTCCAACTCATAGTGACCCTACAGGACAGGGAAGAACCATCCCTGTGGGCTGTAACTCTTTGCAGGAGTAGAGAGCCTTGTCTTTCTCCTGGAGGGCGGCTGGTGGTTTTGAACTCCTGATCATATTGTTAGTATCCCAACATGTAACCAACCCAATAAGCCACCAACCCACTACTTCACAGGGGTTCCTGTAAACAGAGTACAAGGATCTATATGAATTCTACATGATTCAGCAGACAACACATGTGACAACATGGTAGCAACTGCAGGCACAGGCTTTTTGGCTGTACTATTTTTTTGTACCTCTTCTGTAGGTTTTGTATTTTTCAAAATAATAAAATGTGGGGGAATAACACAGCTATTAAAAGTGAAACTACTATAAAAGATCCCCCAAGTATTCAGCTTTCATGAACCTGTTTATGTGCAGTTGTCACGTGACCTTTACACATCACCCTGTGAAGCTGGGACTCGGGGAACCTCAATAAATGCTGCTCTTCTGGCTACTCCCACCTTTAGGGGTCAAAAGTAAATCAAACCTATTCTTCAGCCCTTACCGTGCATGGTTCTGATGCATTCAAAGCCCTGAAAGTCCCATAGTTTAATGGTCATATCCGCAGAACAGGAAGCCAGAAGCTTGCCACTGTGGTCAAATGAAATATCCTGTACAGAGTCTGTATGCCCCTTAAGAGTTCGTTCAAAATCTCCAGTCTCATAATCCCAAACCTGTCAAGTAAAGAGAAAACTAGTTAACACCCATCCATCTCTCCTGGTTAGTTTCACAGTGGCACTCGGAGGCTGGTCTGCACCTTACTGACTAAGTATTCGAAAAGTGACAGCAAAAGATGAAGAGTCCCAGAAATATCACATCATCAAGTATAAATTGGGTCTTTAAAATATATTTTTATAAAGCAAACTAATGTTTTGATTATTAACACAGATATTTAGTGTCTACCACATACCTAACTGTGCTAGTGGTTAGGCTGATAAAGCTGAACAAGACACAGTCCTTTCTTAACATGGAAGCAGGCAACAGACATGTAAATGAGTTTAAAAATAAAAGTTTCCCATGTTATGACAGGCAGACGTTTATCTACAATTTTAGGAAGCAACAGTAGTAAAAGAGTAGTAGAACCCAGATACGTAAGAGGTGAAGTAAAAAATTCATAGGAATACGGATAATTAATTTTTAAATCATATAATTTTCTGATTAAAAAATAAATTGCAAATAAATAATTTATATAATATCAAGTATGAGCATCATAAGGAATAAATCTCAAGAACGTACTAAATGTTTATTCTGGTGGTCATATGATTGATTTTATTTTTCCCCAGGTAAGCATAAATTGATCTCTGGGAGGCTGCATAGCAACTAATTTGGGGAAACCTAGAAAATGCATTCTGAAAACTTAAAGAAATATAAATGCTCAACATTAGGGTAATGGTTAAATAAACAAACTTTGTAAGGAATGTACAAGATGTACATGATAGCTATGTAAAAATAAACAATGCAAATTTAGATACATACTCAGAACTATGTAAAACACACTAAAGAAAAATAAACTAGCTTCCAAAGATATTTTCTTTACAGAAAACGTGGCTGCATTTCCCAAATTAGTTTTTACCATTTAAATGTCCTAGCACTTCTACATGAAAAGTATCATGTGTTTAATTTTATATATAGTCTATGCCAAAGTATTTTAGAGTTTCTGGATACTACCATAAATGGTATTTTAAAATTTAAATTATTTATTGTTAATTTCCAGAAAATAATATTTTTTTATACTGACCATGTAGCTATATTCTAGAACCAATTTTTCATTTTGGGATAAACCTTATTTCATGATGTATTAATTATCTTCCTTATGGACTGCTGTATTTAGTTTGTGAATAACTTGTTAGAAATTTTACATCTATGTCCAAGAATAACATTGGTCCACAGTTTTCAACTTTCTAAGTCTTTCATGTACTCCAGTAAGTTACATTTCCAAAATATTATATCAAATGTAACTGACAAACTCTTATCATCACTGGGAATTCCCACTTAAAAAGTAAAGAAGTATCTTGGCAATATTGACATATATTATGATTTTAATCGGGAGTTCTTTTATTATGAGATGAAGAATGGTTTTATGTCTGCCAATTATTTTTTCTTTTTCTATAACCTGTCTGTTCATGTCCATTTTCCTACAAATACGTTAGTTTTTTCCTATTTATGTATACATACTGAAGTTGGCAACACCTTACTTGTTAGTTCCAAATGACATTCAGAAGTAACAATTCAAAAATTTAAATGGTCCAATTAAAACTTCAATCATGACTTGTTCCAAGTTGTCATTTCCCCTTGAGTATTGCAGTCAGATGTTGAGGAAGGCTATAGAACAGGCTGGCTCTAAAAGAGCAATCCTGTTGAACTTACCATTACACAAGAAATTACTTACACACACAAAAAGAAATTATTTACCGTAACATAATTTTTTTTTTAACTGTAACATCAGCTACAATTTATTCTGCTACTATATCTTACCTTATGGTGTTAGTATTTTTAACAAGCCTTCCCCAACAATTGAGAAAACTGAGCCATGAACATATCAAGCACTTTGCCCCAAATAATCACACATTGCAGATAATTACACATTGCAGAAACGCCTCTTACTGTGTTCTTCACAATTTTTGCACAGTATCTCTATGACAGCCATTCTTCAGAAACAGTCTAACTATACTACACTGAAGGAAGAAAAGCAGAAGGGAATAAAATGTTTTTTATGCCACAAAATATTGAGAAACGAGGTCTAAAAGCAGCAGAACAGAACAGCAGTTCTACCTCATAAGTCTGGCTGGACCGGAGGACGTGCACAGGTACAGACGGGAACTGGACACACAGGGAGCCAGGGCGGAGGGCCCTCAGGACCAGTGCTGAGAGTGGCGATACCAGAGGGTAGAGGGAGGGTGGGGTGGAAAGGGGTAACCAATTACAAGGATCTACATATAGCCCCCTCCCCGGGGGACGGACAACAGAAAAGTGGGTGAAGGGAGATATGGGACAGGGCAAGATATGAAAAAATAATAATTTATAAATTATCACGGATTCATGAGGGAGGGAGGAGCGGGGAGGGAGGGGAAAAATGAGGAGCTGATGCCAGGGGCTTAGGTGGAGAGCAAATGTCTTGAGAATGATGAGGGCAATGAATGTACAAATGTGCTTTACACAATTGATGTGTGTATGGATTGTGATAAGAGTTGTATGAGCCTCTAATAAAACAATTAAAAAAAAAAAAGAGCAGCAGTATTTATGATAGCAACTGGCTGAAAATAACACAGTCCCCAGGACACGGATGTGTTAATGGTCTAGCACGATACTAAGAGAGCTGTTAAGTTACTGAGTGCTGAGCACTGTGCTAAGCAGTTTTCATAAATTAACTCAGTCCTCATGAGCTAGATATTATATTCATTTTATGAATAAGAAAAGAGAAGTACAGTTACCACTTGAACCCAGAGCTTGGACTCTATACCATCATTAGAAACATAGAAAATACTTCTACAGTAAATTTAGTCAAAATAATAATGAATTACACTACAAAAGAGGTTTAAAAAGTTTGTGGGAAAACTGTTAAAATAATGGAATTTTTCACGAACCTTTTGAAGTCCCCCTTGTAAAACTACTTTCTTTATTGAAACAACCATGTGTACACGTTTAATTAACAACTAAATGTAAGAATCAACCATTAGTTTTGGTGATAGGTGACATAATTATACATATATATGTGTGTGTGCTTTAAAGTTTCTTGTAATATTCACTTATTAGATACAGTAAAATGGATTACTAACAAGTGTTGTCCATACTTTTAAAGCCACTGCTACAAAATCAAAGTATTTAAAGGGTTAACCTGTTCAAGAATGTCTACTTTCCCTCCTACCTGTAACAGTTGCAGTTTTTTCAGCACACAATGCTAAGAACTAGCATGAAATACTATTTTAATTCATGTCTATATACATTTGACAAATAGTAACATATTAATGTACCAGATGTGTAATTATTACAGCCAATTTATGGTACTACACATTTAAACTAAGACTCCTTCCAGTCTGCAGCCCTGACTCAGAAACGATGAAGAACCCCTCCCCTGCCTTTGGCTTGGAAAACTGTACTCATCATTGAACTGTTTTACATGAAGAATGTGATTACTTTCCCACCCAGCCCAAATTTTCTGAATGTACTATAGTATTGAAATGGTCATTCCTAATCTACTGTTTCTATTTTGTCACCATTCATTACTGCATAAAATCCTAATTCACTTTCAACTACTTGATTGTAGCTTTGTTCAATAGCAAAGATGTCTCAGCACTAAACCCATGTCTTTTTAGTTTTTATTTTTAATCTCTCTAGTATAGCATATGTTGACAGCTACTCAATAAATTTTCTTTTTCTTATTGCGATGCATAGAACCTGAGTTTTTTAATGGTAGGCAATATGCAAAGCAGTAAAAATAGTCATTGAAATGTCAACATTTTATTGTCTTATGCTTGTCTGTCATTATGTGAAATCTATGTGTGTGTGTATATATAAAATCTATACTCATAGTTACTTAATTATACTACAACGAATGCAACAAACTCTAGATTTAAATTGAAACATGCCCGAGAGCAGCAGTTCTCAACCGGTGTGTTGTGAACCCTTTGGGGGTCAAATGATCCTTTCACAGGGGTCACCCGATTCATAACAGTAGCAAAATTATAGTTATGAAGTAGCAATGAAGATAATTTTATTGTTGGGGGGTGTCACCACAACACTACATTAAAGGGTCGCAGCAATAGGAAGGTTGAGGAACCACTGCCTTAGTTAATCTACCTAACCCTTTCAATTATCTTTTCATCATTTATCACGCCTGTATCATAAAACAACTTATCTGATTAAAAAGACAAAAGCATTAAAATGTAGTATTTGCTTTCTGTACAAAATTCAAACATGAGAGAAATATGCTGCTTATAAAATTTTAAATTCCTACATTTTCACACTCGAAAGAGGACATTTAACTTACAATCTAAGACAGTCTTAAGTATGTCAAGGATAGTCATATTTAAATGACCCTCTCGCTGAATTACTGTGCAGAATATATTCACCCCTGAATCACTAATTTTACAAACCTGTATCATCACATATCACCCTTGAGTAAGGTGCATGCTGTACTTTCTCATTCACCAAGAACAAAAATCTTCAAGGTGATCTACTTCCCAACACTAAATTAACAGCTCTGCATTTTCTGAAATTCCTTGGCAGCATGCCTCTCAGGAGCTACAATGAAATTTTATTCTAAATCTGTCTTTTAAGGTTTAGCACCAATCACACACAGTTTCAAAGAGTCTCTCAGTCCCTCAGCTTGCATCTTCATTTTCAGGATCTTTTTATTATCTTCACCCAGTTAACTTTAAGTCTGCCTGTAATCATCACCCTTTGCACATCTTTCCATTTGGGGGGCACACACGCACACACACAGGGACACACACACACCCCTCCACCCCCAGTAAAACCCACCTTAATTGTAGCATCTTCTGAAGCAGAGACCATAACACTGAACACAGGATGGAAAATGACCCGAGTGACTGGACTCCTGTGACCACTCAAGGCGTATTTCTCTGGTGGACGGGGAATCCATTCTTTTGGGTCTCGTTTCTGACCAAGAGGTCCACCCGACGTAAACTCTTCTTTTGCTTCATTTAGCTTTGATTCTAATTCCATAACCTTGAGAAGGAACATGCAGTTATTTATAGATTCTAATAGGAAAGAACACCTGCTATATTATTTTAAAAAAAAACAATTTTGCATAGAAGCAGGATACTTGAACACATTAATTAATTTCCAAAGATTTGTCAGATTATCTATAATAACACCAAAATATCATAATGGTATGACAAAAACTGAAAACAGAAAAATTGGGCTCAATTAACTACAAACTTCCAAGAAATTCAAATCTTTATTTCTGGTCATAGTATTTTCTACTTCTAATTTAGAAAAAGAGGAGTGAACGTGCCTTCGTTTCTAAACCAGCCATTTGTAGTAAATTCCTTCCAAATGACCATTCACATTATATATGCTAATAGTAATATTGCTAACAATTACTGAACACCTACTATGTGCTAGCCACCTTTCTAACAGCTTTTTGTGGATTAACTTGTTATTTCAAGGTTAATTTACTTATTTCAATTTTACTTACTAAAAGTATCAATTTAAGCTTGAAACATGACTTAAGAGTATTTACAGATCAAAAAATGGAAAAGCTCAAGAGATGAAAATGACTTATCTACAGACACATTTTAAGGTTAGCACCACCTTGGCTCCATGTGTTTCCTTTCTGAGTATACCAATCAGTTCTTTCAGGACTAAGCTGTTGAAATCAGGGATGTACAGATTCAACTCAAACAGTCACCCACTCACCCCCATTACATAAGGTAGGCTCATGTATTAAAAATGATCAAGCTTAGGTCAAAAGTTTCATAATGTACAGAAAATGTATTGTGAGTTGGTTAGACATAATTACTAATGGATGTATAATTTTTTTTCATATATTTACAACATTTGTGGGAGCTCACTGAATACAACTAATACGTATTTAAAAATATATCCCCATTACCTTTTTTTGTAATCTAATAACAGATGTCCATTTTTTTTCCAAAAGACCAGCATATTTCTTATCTAATTCTTCATTCTGGAGGGAAAAATGACAATTATCTAAAAGCTATAATTACTCTAAATAAATAAATAAAAGCTATGAGAACCCAAGTCATATAGACCACAAGATTACTTAACATCTGATTACGTGAAAGATAAGAACCATACACAAATTTAATGGCAAGTCGAACAGAGTAACAAAAGACAAATGAGGGCAATGGACTGACTGCTAACTACTGATGCATAAGTAAAATCCACTCATTTACTATGAATAGTTAGATATATTAAAAAAAAAAACCATACCACATACCACATCTAATTCAGCTTCCTTTTTAAAAACGGAATATGCCTCTTCATAGCCATTTGAACGAAGATAATCTGCTATAGCTCGGTTTCTGAAAGAGAACAAGCCCACATGATGCCTAACAAAATCTCGTTTCCCTGTTGAAGAGCAGTTTACTTAAAACCTCCTAAGCTTTTAAGACATTAAAGAAAATAAATCTTATTGGGGGGCTCTTACAGCTTTTATAAACAATCCACAAATCAATTGTATCAAGCACATTTATGCAGATTGCCATCATCATTTACAAAACATTTTCTTTCTACTTGAGTCCTTGCTATCAGCTCTTCTTTCCCCCTCCCTTTGCTGTGAACCCTTGATAAATATAAATTATTTTTATTTTCATATCTTACACCAGCCACTGTCTCCCATCACCTACATTTCTGTTGTTCATCCCCCAGGGAGATGTTGTTCTCCCCAGGGGAGAAAGGTTATCGACCTTCCTTCTACCCTGATGGTATCACTACTCCCATTATTGTTCCTGAGGAAGACTTGTTTTAAAGAGAGTTCTCATCTAAATCACAAAAAAGGAACTAAGTATTAAGGCCCTGATCACAGTATGTCCATATTATGCTACCATTCTTGCCCTTTTAGCAATCAATTTCTAATGTGCTGCTTACCTCATAAACTGTGGGCACTCTTAACGCTATAGTTCTAGATAAAACTGATACATAAGTAATTAGATAACAATGTGCGGCAGTGTTCACCACCAACTTTGCCTTCCCTTATTACCAATTATGTTAACGGACAGACTGGCAAACTTGGACTTATTTAGCAGAAAAATATTTTTATTAAAGAAAAATTAAAGTATTTTTAGATCAGAGATTGCTTTAAAGCATTAGATTGGCTAGGGAGGTTGGGGGGAGACATAAGTGATAAAATTACTACACTACCATGGAATGACATCCACTTAGGGTTAAAAAGAACTCCAAGGTTAGAGATCCTAAATTAGGCCCCTTTTTCTTTTTTTCTTTCTCCAAAGCATTTTCTTTCTACTTGAGCCCTTGTTATCAGCTCTTCATTTTTTTTCCCCTCTTTTTTAACATTAGGGGCTCATACAACTGTTATCCCAATCCATACACACATCAATTGTGTCAAGCGCATTTGTACATCGTTTCTCAAAACATTTTCTCTCCATTTAAACCCCCGACATTAGGTCCTCATTTTTCCCCTCCCTCCCCGCTCCCCCCTCCCGCATGAGCCCTTGATAGTTTATAAATGGGTATTTTGTCATATCTTGCCCTGTCCGACGTCTCCCTTCATCCACTTTTTGGTTGTCTGTCCCCCAGGGAGGAGGTCACACACAGTTCCATGTAATCGGTTCCCTCTTCCCTACCCATTCTCCCTTTACCCTCCCTGTTTTGCCACTCACACCACTGGTCCTATAGGGCTCATCCATCCTGGATTCCCTGTATTTTCACTTCCTATCTGTACCAGTCTACATCCTCTGGTCTAGCCAGACTTGCAAGATAGAATTCGAGTCATGGTAGTGGGAGCGGGGAGGAAACCTTTAGGAACTAGAGGAAGGTTGTATTTCTCATCATTGTTAGATCGCACCCTGACTGGCTCGTCTCCTCCCCGAGACTAGGCCCCTTTTACATGCTCTCTTCACATACAGACTTTCAGAGATCAGCTATCACCACTCCAGCACAGTTTACTCCACGATGCCTCAATGCCACATACGTAAGTGTTTGCTTGGGACTTCTTTTAAAAACACTGATTACAAAGTTAAAGGTTAATATATACACACGATTAAGCAAATTTGAATATGTATATATACAATAAAGGCCCATCAATGAACCTTAATATTCCATCCTCAAAGCAATCATTTCACTAGTGTTTTGTGTATTCTTTCAAAGATAATCTAAATACATGTACAATTATATAGTTTAGAGAGAACGGCTACCTATTTCTGAAATAAAATGCATAAATCTTCTGTATTTTACTTTATTTCACATGAAGCTGTTTTAAACAATCTAAGCAGTCCTTATCAGCAGATTTAGGCCTCTTTTTTGAAATTATGAGTTAATGACTTTTGTTCCTACAAGCAATGCTGCCATAAAAAACATCAATGCCACTGCTTACTTAAGATTTGGGGAAATAAAAAAACTCCAGTAATATTGTAGGATTCTTGGAATTAAGTTTTAATTCAATGACATGTTAAAAACAAACAAATCGTTTTTACAATAAAAACTAAAAATAAAAAAGCTCAAATACAATAGTGGGGAATAACACAATGCCACTGCTTACTTAAGATTTGGGGAAATAAAAAAACTCCAGTAATATTGTAGGATTCTTGGAATTAAGTTTTAATTCAATGACATCTTAAAAACAAACAAATCGTTTTTACAATAAAAACTAAAAATAAAAAAGCTCAAATACAATAGTGGGGAATAACAATCAGGAATTAACCAAAAATTTTTATGTTCCAGGTAAACGAGAATGCCCAAGATCAAAGTACCCTAACAGTTTGCTTTGCACTCAGGGACATGGATTTGAGAAATTCTCAACGTGATCCTAAAATCTGTACCTGTTTGCAGCATATACCACAGCCTGCACCCTTCTGGCCTATTCTACTTCTCACTCACTGCCGACCAGTTGGTTCCCATGCATAGGGATCCTTTGAAACAGAGCAGGACTATCCTTTTGGGTTTCTGAGACTCTAAATCTTTGCAAGAGTGAACAATCTCATCTTTTTTCTTCTAAGTGGTTGGTGGGTTTGAATCAGACCAGTTCATTACGCCACCAGGGCTGCTGGGTAACTCAATTCATTAAGAAAGATCTTCATACAGTCCTGAAGTCGACTTTTTAACTTCAACCAATTAGACCTATTTGGGTCTTACAATGCAAAAGAAGGTCACAGTGGCTATCTCTTGATACTCCCATCAAATACTGTGTTGGCTAAAAACCTTCCCCCCAAATAAATTTCCCTTTGGTTAGAATATCCCAATAATAAGGAAAACAAAGAAGCTAAAAGCTAGTTCTTGGTTTCCTTTATTACTATTATTATTATTATTATAAAAAGCAAATAACACACAAAGCAGAAAATGTAAGAGTTGCTTGACACATGGTACACAGTTTACAACACTCAAGCAAGGCCATATAACTGAAAATGTGTACAAACTTTTTTTTGTATTTTTAAAAAAATTAATCATTTTACTTGGGGCTCGTACAACTCCTATCACAATCCATGCATACATCCATTGTGTCAAGCATATTTGCATACCCGTTGCCATCATCATTCTCAAAACATGTGCCTTACACCTGAGCCCCTGGCAAATGTGTATAAATTATAACAACTACACCTTTAATAAGAAGTCACTTGGGAGTCCTCAAGAGTGTCACCACAACCTTTTGAGCTAAGCTCTCTGCTCTGATCAGCCTGCAGATCCCCTCAGAAGACACTCTGATTGGACTTTCTGGGGGAAGGGACCCTGAGAAGACTAATACAAGCATATTACTAAGAGAACAGTCTGCAGTCCCTAACTGGAGGGACATGTTTAAATATGCTCTGTTCAGAATAAACCTGTCATACACAAACTGGGATCCTAAATGTATACAGCTTTTAAGCAAGTATATTAACCTGCTAATTTTATTCAATATGTCATGAAAATCTTTCCCTGTTCAGTGAAAACATCAGTTATTTTAGTGTCCAAATAATGTCACACAGAAGCAGCAAATTTCACTAAAGCTGTTAGTATTAAGCTTTATCTAATTGCTGGATTTCTGGTTGTTTCTATTTTTCCATCATTTTAAATAATATTGCAAACAAAAATCCGTATAGATAAACCCTTTCTCATATCTTTATATCTGAGTCAAAAGAGATCTATATTATTAGGATAATTTGATAGCTAGCCTCAGAAAAGTCTGTTCCCTAGCAAAGTTGTACCCCATTTATGCTCATTGCTGCAGATATGAATGCCCCTTTACCACCTTTATTTTTCAAACACTTGAGTTACTTAGCATTTGATTTTTTGGGGGGGATGACTTGACACCTCCATACTTTGCTTATATAACTCTTATGATATAGATTAAATATTAAGACTTTTAAACTTTGCAAAATACCCAACTTCAGTGTGGCTTAATCCAACATCCATATATTTTAAAAGATATGTATTAAGCATGATTTATGAGAAAGATGCAGATAATTTAAATGTGCATACTGCAGCACATCAAAATAGTTGTATCTTACACATTTATATGTTTTATAAGACTTTAATTCCAGAGGCAGAAAAACAAGAACCCAGTAACATTTGCAGTCTCATTTGATTCTAACAACCATTCTGTTGAAATACTAGAATGAACTCTTCCCAATAGTACAGTACACATCGGCAGACTGACGTATGTAAGGCACCTCACTGTTACCACCACCCTCCTGTCAACCGTGGTAGCTTGCTATTATTGTAGTGTTAGAAGCTAAGCCAGTGCTGTTTCAAGTCCCAGCAGAGTCAGGTTAGATGGGTTTCAGAGAATCCTTCAAACTAAGATAGACAAGGAAAAAATGCCTAGTGCTATACTCCCAAAAATGAGCCAATGAAAGCCTTACAGATCAAAACAGCACTGTTGGACTTGCTGGCTTCAGACATGTCACCAGGCAGAATAAACTGCTAAAGGAATTAAAAGTGTGTGAAGTTGAGGGCCAACGAAGGCAAAGGAGACCCTCAGTATGATGAATCGGCACAACAGCCACCGAGAGGGACTCAAACATGCCAGTCACTAGGAGAACGACACAGGATTGGGAGACACTGAATTCTATTGCATGTAAGGTTGCTGTGGGTTGGGGTAGCTCCCTGCCTGTCTGTCATAGTTAATAAGAAGGAAAATAGCGGTGGACACATGGCGAGCCTATGACCAGAGTAGAACTGCCCCCGGTGAGTTTCTATACTCCTATGGAAGTAGAATTTTCATCTTTCTCCCAAGATAGGGCAGAGTATAGATGCTGCTCAGTAGAATTTCTGAAGCTGTAAATCTGCAAAGCACACAGCATCATCTTTCTGAAGTAAAAAAAAAAAGTCAATAAATTAGAAGTAAAGTATAAATTAGTATGGGACAGTT